TGCCCGCTCTTCTTCGAGTTCAGCCAGTAGCTGTTGTCCTTGGCTGTCCATTCTGTGACGCCGTTCCTACCAGGCCAGTGCAGGCAAGATGTTGAGTTACAAAACTTCACTATGGCTTATTCTGGGTTAGAATGTAATAAGGATTTTTAGAAGTCCTCGGTGCAAGGGTAGCAGCACGCTGAAGTATTGTTCTTCTTTGTTGGGATAAGTCATTTGGCAAGAAGTAAACAAACGAGTCACATGATACGGAACATGAAATTCCCGAAGCCGCGTTATCTCAGCAAGCTCAGCCGCTTCGCAGGATAATTGCTGTTTTAACACTGATTTAATGATTAGTCACTCTTTTAAACAAGCTAATCTCAAATTGGTAAGGAGCTAACCCAAATAAGTCTTTGATCCCGTGATGTGCAATTATCCTGCCTCTGGCGAGGATTGCTCTGAGCACATGATTTGTAATTAAAGTAGTTTAGTGTCATGCTGCTGCAACCGGAGCCATAGAGGGTCTGAGCTCGCTGAGATAAAAGCCGCGAATATATTCAAACAGGTATGGCTGGGATGAGGGCTCGCAAAGTGCTTCTCTATAATGGAAGAATAATAATAATAATAATCTCTGAAATTTGGATAAAAATGAATTAATTCAGTTTTATCCATATCAAAAACAATGTTTTTGATTTTGCTTTTTCAATCATTTCAGTTGCTGCTTGCTCAATCAAATTGCAATTATTTACAATTGATTCTGAGCTTACAACTAGACCTAAATCATCCACATAGCTTGGAGTTCTCACCATAATTGCCATTTGTCTATCAATAAACAGAAACTTGATAAATATAGCAAATAAAATAGGTGAGACTGGGGAATCCTGAGGAACTCCTATCTCAATATCTGTTATATCTTGTATAAGAGATGGGCTACAAGAGTAATTACAAGAGTAGTGTGAAGTACGCACAAAGGATATTAAGAAGGTAGCAATCTCTATTGTTCAAAGCTAATCGCTGATCTCCTAAAATCCACGGATATCAGCGAGCATTATATAGATAATATTGCCATCGCCACGTATCTATCGCCACGTATCTATCGCCTAATATAGATATCTCCGTTGCGCCTATTACATCTTGTCTCATTCCATCAAAAAGCAACTGAATAGTTCTTTTTGACATGAAACAGACAACCCACTTAATGAGAGACTTTGGCATTCTCAGTTTTATCAAAGTTTTGATTATTTGAGAAAGTGAAACACAATCAAATGCACCTTTTATATCAATAAACATTGCAGTTATAACCATTTTTTCATTCTTTGCAAGTTGA